TATATATATATATATATATATATATATATATATATATATATATATATATATATATATATATATATATATATATATATATATATATTTTGTAACGGGGGAGATAAATCTGCAAAATGAGAAATTTATTTAAGAACAAACTCCCACGATGCAGAGCAAACCGCCGCTCCGTTAACACGTATGTTAATACGTGTATTCGCCTTAACGTCAGCTGATTTAACTTAGTTGTCTTCGATCAAGCGGAGTTGAACTCACCTTAAGTCACGTGCCTTGTGACACACGATGAGTTTTAAGTGTAAGCGACTTTACTCCTAATCCACTTAATCCCCTAGCTGTAATAGGATTAAAACCTAAGCCTTTTTCAATTGTTTAAACTACTAGGAAAATTATATGACGAAATCGGCGAATAAGTTTAATAGATTTTATTAATAAAAAATCTCTACAGTTTTTGTCGGGCCGAAAGACTGACGCACGCAAATAGGATTTACAATTAAATAACTTTCGGTGAGAAAGAGAGAGAGAGAGAGAAGATACGAAAATTGGCGCGATCTAACGCTCGACGCGAATACAAAAAATTAACGCTAACACTGTTGGACAAAATACCAAATGTATTTTATCACGCGATAATTAAGGGAGGTGCACCTACCCTGCGGTGCAATTACGGTGATCAGCCGTAATTGTTGAAGCAAATTAAAGGTGCTCCTCAGATCCGAATCAGCTGTGCTGCCTCGATTGCAAATCTGCTGTATAATAGCTGTTGCTTTCGCTGCTGCTTCCGTGATGCTGCTACTGTTGCTGCTTCCTCGCTCACCCTTGCACACGTATCCAAAATCCAAGTAAACTTTTTTATTGGCAAATCGTTGGAACACTGTGCTAAACTATTTTGGCGGTACTACACACGTAACAGCTGAGACGTAACTACTAATTCAAAAGATCGCGCGCCCCCGCTCTCTCTCAATACTTAGAACTAACGCGCGAAAATCAGAATCGCGAACGGTTCGATAAATTGAATCGACTACCGTTGCAATTTATATATATTATATAAATATATTACTATATATTATATTATTATATTACTATATATATAAATATATAGTAATATATATCTATAAATATATATTATTTCTCCTAATTATGAATTTCCGTAGTCGCAATACTATTTCGATTTCGATGATTTTTGTTCTTAGCATTATCTCTTTCTCTATCACATTAATCAAGATACAAGCTTGTCTCTGTCTATTAAGCAAGTTGAGTGTGATGCGTCATCCTTTTCTATCTATTAAGGTATCTCTTTCTATTTAACATAGGCATAGATGTAAGTGGGCGTGACTAATGCGGCATATTAATATGTATATCAAGCAGCATTTTAATTGCTATCACACTCACGATATACTAGACAGATTTTCCAATTATTTTAGATAGATAATTGCGAGGGGATAATTTACATATTTTAATATACATTTTTGAGGTAATTATTAATACGCTTTTACATATTTTTACTATTGGAAATATTGAGTGTTAATTGCATACATAAGCCAAATCAGAAAAGCTGCCATATATATATATATGGGACGATCCATGTCAACCGGATCACTGCTGTATCCAAAATTTGATGTGACCAAAAAAATCGTGCAACAACTCATTTTAAAGCTTAGGATATCTACTTTCTGATGCTGTGTGCGCCTTTGCAAAATCCAACATGGCGGCTCCAATATGGCGGCTACAAGAGACAAACTCGTAAACAAAAAATTTTATTTTTCAAATTTTTAGTAATAAATGTTAAAAAAATTAATATTTCATATTTTTTTATGAAAATTTGGCTCATTTCCTACCAAAAAGTAACAGAGACCATTTTCGCTAAAATGAAAAATAAAAAAGTTATAATTTTTTGAAAATTTTCAAAAATAAAAACCTGCAATTTTTTTACTCAGAAGGAAATGACTTTGGAAAAAAAATTTAAGGAACAAAATTGCTTGAAATTCATCAAAACACAAGTGTGAATTTTTTCGAATTCCTTTGAGCGATTTTTTGCTTTTTGGATTTATCGGATTGTTTGAATAATTAAAAAACTTCCCAAGATCTTTTAAAAAAATTCAAAAAAATCGCTCAAAGGAATTCGAAAAAATTCACACTTGTGTTTTGATGAATTTCAAGCAATTTTGTTCCTTAAATTTTTTTTCCAAAGTCATTTCCTTCTGAGTAAAAAAATTGCAGGTTTTTATTTTTGAAAATTTTCAAAAAATTATAACTTTTTTATTTTTCATTTTAGCGAAAATGGTCTCTGTTACTTTTTGGTAGGAAATGAGCCAGATTTTCATAAAAAAATATGAAATATTAATTTTTTTAACATTAATTACTAAAAATTTGAAAAATAAAATTTTTTGTTTACGAGTTTGTCTCCTGTAGCTGCCATATTGGAGCCGCCATGTTGGATTTTGCAAAGGCGCACACAGCATCAGAAAGTAGATATCCTAAGCTTTAAAATGAGTCGTTGCACGATTTTTTTGGTCACATCAAATTTTGGACACAGCAGTGATCCGGTTGACATGGATCGTCCCATATATATAAGCAAAATCAAGAAAAATATTTTACAGACGCTGGTAACATAGAGAAAGTTTTTTATACGCCTACGCAAAATTCAGGAAAAGTAAAATACATATTCGATGTATTTTTCGGACGCACTTCTTGAGTTAATCGGCGCATTTGAGTTGTTCAGTAATTCCTTATTTTTCTTGCCTCATTTAGGCCTTTATAATTCTTGTGATTTTTCTCTCTTGTAATAAATGTTTTCGGCAGCGTTGGTTATTTTCTTATTCTTGAAGCGATCAGCCTTTATTGGTATGATGACTTTCGGAGGTTTTGGAAGAATAGCATGTTAAGATAATTATTAAATAATAGTAACGCTGGTGCTCATGCACATGAAATAAATAAATAAATAAATAAATTGTTAATTATATATTATTTTACAATTCACTGCGCTAGTGCAATTCGGAGTACAGAAAGCTGTCGCTGGCTTTTCTTGAACTACTTTGCAGTAATTTAATGATTCTCATTATTAGTTATTAAACAGCCCGTTACAAACTATTTGAATTTTGCAAACGGCCTTTAAAGATGAGTGTATGGACAAAACATAAATAAAAAAGTGGTATAGGCAGTTCAAAAGTGACCACACATCTGTTGACAGTGATCCTTGTTCTGATTTGTTTTTTCGATTATAAGGGCGTTGTGTACGAGATCTGTCCGGAAAGTATCGGGCCTACTTTTATATTTTCGTGCTAGCGTTATTCTTTATCATCTGGTGGATGGCATCCTTCTAAGTAATCTCCACTTGATTGAATAACACGGTTCCATCGATGTTTCCACTTTTCAAAACAGTCCTGGAACTCACTTTTAGGGATAGCCTTAAGTACACTCGTCGCATTGTTTTCAACCGTTGTTTTGTCACATCGAATTGGTGTCCTTTGAGTGGTTTTTTTATTTTTGAAAACAGCCAAAAGTCACAAGGGGCTATGTCGGGACTGTATGGAGATTGTCGAAGCAATGCGATATTGTGTTTGCTCAAAAACTACTGCACAAGATTGGATGAATGCGCTGGCGCATTATCATGATGGAGGAGCCAGTCACCACTTTCCCAAAAGTGCGGCCGTTTTCTTCTTACTGCATCACGCAAACATTTCAAAATTTGAACGTAGCATTCTTTATTGATTGTCTGACCTGTTGGTGCATATTCGTGATGTACATTACCTTCACAATCGAAAAAAAACAATCAACATTGACTTAACATTGCTCCGACTTTGACGTGTTTTTTGGGTCTTGGCGATTCAGAATGCTTCCACTGTGAAGATTGTTGTTTTGTTTCAGGATCATAACCATAAACCCATGATTCATCACCTGTAATAACTTTTCTAAGCACATTATCATCATTATTGACCATTTCCAAATTGTCCAGAGCGATTTCTAAGCGAATGTTCTTCTGCTCTGCTGTGAGCAATTTTGGGATGAATTTCGCACACACGCGTTTCATTCCTAAATTTTCGGTTAAAATTTCTGAAATGATAGTTTTTGGTATCCCAAGGTCTTCTTCTAGTTCTTGCACAGTCACACGACGATCTTGTTCGATTGCAAGTCGCATCCGCTCAATATTATCTGCGGTTTTTGTCGTCGAAGGTCGGCCGGAACGAGAATCACTGTCGACAGAAGTGCAACCATCCTTGAACCGTTTATACCACTCTTTTATTCGTGCTTTGCCCATACACTCGCTTCCGAAGGCCTTTTGCATCATTTCAATAGTTTCCGAACTCGTTTTTCCGAGTTGAAAGCAAAATTTGATGCAAATTCGTTGATCTTGTTTTTCAGTCATTTTTGACAATATCAAAATCCGACGAACGCGAAAAAGGCACTGTAAATAATGACATGCTGCGCATGAACTATACGTCCGGCAGGTGTCAGTAAGTAACCCATAGATTCATGAAGTTTTACTGTTGACGTTTCTGTCCGGTAGAGGTCGCTCGAACACTATGGCGCGACGATATAAACGTAGGCCCGATACTTTCCGGACAGACCTCGTATATCGGATACTTTTGCGACAGATTTCGTATTTTTAGTTCAAACTAAACCATATTTTGTCTCTAAAAATTTACGTTCGAATTAATCATCTTATTATTTTTATAAATTTTATAAACTATCATGAAAAATTACGTTTCTTTTTCTCATGACTATTGTCTGTTCTAGAAAGAAAGATAAAAGGTATAATGAGCATATCCCTCAATAGATTTGTAATACTTGTTAAAGTGAAAAAGTAAGGAGTGAGCACTCTATTTGACATTTTTTTAAATCGTATCAATTTAAAAGATTGTTTTCATGGAACTGTTTATATAGCATGGATATCATCATTACTGTTACTACTCTTGATGAATACTGTCAAATTTTTTAAATTTGACATATTTCTTATTATTTGATTTATATTTTTTATTTTCTTAACTTAAAATTTTGTTATTTTACAGTCGAATAATTCTGCTATGAGTTCAACGAAACTAGGACCACTTGCAATAGATCTTTCTCACAAGTATACACAGTTAATCGAAGATTCATTAGGTGCAATGGTTGTTACATCAAACCCTGACATATCAGTAAAATTAAGAATGTACATTCAAGAACTCGGAAAAGCATGCATTGATATAGTTAAATCAGCAGGTACTCACGGAATAATCTCAGATGAAATTTATACCAGGCAAATTTTTGACTATAGCAGAATAGTGAATGATATAGTATCTCAAGTTCTCACAGTTTTACAAGCTGGATCTCGAGGGACCCAAGCATGTATAAATGCAGTAAGCACAGTATCAGGTATCATTGGAGATCTTGACACAACTATAATGTTTGCTTCTGCGGGTACTCTTCATGCCGAAAATGAAAATGAAAAATTCGCTGATCATCGAGAAAATATGTTAAAAACTGCCAAAGCATTAGTTGAAGATACAAAAACGTTAGTTGCTGGAGCAGCATCTTCTCAAGAGCAATTGGCTGTAGCTGCTCAGAATGCCATAACAACAATTATTGAACTTGCTGAAGTTGTTAAATTTGGTGCAGCTAGCCTTGGAAGTAGTAACCCTGAAGCACAAGTCATGTTGATAAATGCTGTACGCGATGTTGCTTCAGCTTTGGGAGATCTTATACATGCTACAAAAGCAGCAAGTGGTAAAATAATCAATGATCCTACTATGGCCCATCTTAAGGACTCTGCAAAGGTAAGCATCAGATACATTTAAAAAATGTTGAATATAAAATAATAGATTGAGTTTCCATTATTACTAACACATTTCTGTCAGATTAGTGAAAAAATTCTATAAAATATCTTCAGATCATCTAGTTATATGCATAAGTATGTCGCCAGACTATACTAAAATTACACAAAGTTCAACATTTTTCGACTCCGTTCACAATAGTCTTAAAAAAAAACATGCAGGGACTCATTTTAAAGAGTAAAACAATACCTTTAATAGACCTTGAAGTTAAAAAAATAAAAATTTTTTCTATAGTAAAAAGTATTAAGACTTTCCTTTTGTATATTTCAATCCAGAAACACCTTTTAACTTTTGAACTAGACTACTCGCAAAAATTAAGGGATATAAGAAATATTCTAAATTTTTGGAATCATTTCCAATGAGAAATGACTCGGAGGGAAATGGTTGTACAAAAAAAAACAGAAATTATAGCATCAAATTTTTAGTTTGAGATCTGAGCTGTAAACTTTTTTAGCGTAGACGATGTTCAAGTACATAGTTATCAAAAAACCAACAAATAAAATTATTTATAAATTTATTTTCATTTTTAAAATAATCTGTTAACTAAGAAAACTTTTTTTTCTGTCATGGAATTTCAAAACTCTTTTAGGCAATTTAATCAGATTTGATTTGTTTTTTATTTCATTTTTTTTCAAGTTTCATTATCTCTGAATTTATGCACTATAAAGAAAAACTCCTTAAAAAATATTTATTTTTACACATAGAAAAAGTATTTTTTATCAAAACTAAATTTTAGAGAAATATCTTTTCTACTATTACAATACAATTTTTTAACGAATTTTTTTATGAGCGAAAAATCTGAGTTACTATCGAATAAATCATTATATATAAACTATATTTAAATTAAAGATTTACATAATTTACATAATTTAGTACCTTTCGACGATTTGACTCAGAATAAATGCCTATCACAGCAAAAAATACAACTTTGTTCTTTTTATTATAAAAGCCTTGGATATATGGGATTAATGAAGGATGTAGATCTAATTTTTCAATGTCAAAGTATTCCCAAAAACTCTTAAAGTTACGGAGTACTACGATTTTTCTTCTTAATACCTCGAAGGCTCAAAGTATCGTTTTTGTCAAGCAATTTTTTAGTTTCATTTATTTTATTAATTATAAAATATTTTTTTAGCTATAATAAGTAAATTTTGTATTCAAAAACAACAATTTTTTCTCAGCATATACTTAATGCTTCATTATCATAATTTTTTACTTTTAACACTTACTGCCGGCATTACGGGTATTCAAAACTATTTCATGTGGAAGTTGCATGGTCGGATTTATGCCTTTTACACACCCGCACTCACGCGCGCGCGTATGTGTGTATGTGTGACATTCTTTGGGGTGGTATCGCACCCAGTGGTTTGTCAATTCCACCATATGTAACGACTCCAAACTCATCCTCCAAAGACTATGTATATGTTTGTGTGTGCGGCTACAGCGGCTACTTTCTTAATTCCCTCGATTACTCTAAGAGCTTGCACAATTTCTTGGTGAGATGCATGGTCGTAAGAAGATTCTAATGCAACTTTTACTATTATTAAATTTTTATTATCGCTTGTCGTAATAGCTCAAGCGCCACACTGGTTCTTATTACGGCAATTCCAATACCACTGAGCAATTGTATCTGAATGTTTGTAGTACAAGAACCAATCTATGTGTGAAAATTTTTATATCTGTGGTTTTATAATTTAGACTATTATTGATTACTTATTATTTGCTTTGAATTTATTGAATAGAAATATTTCAGCGCTACAAAAAATTTTCAAATTTACGGTCAACCTAATTATAACATAAGAAACAAATAAATAAATAACTGTTAGATATGAATATGCGATTAGCCAATTTACATTTTTTGGGAACAGTTTTGGTTAGAGAGAAAGTCCTTAGGGAAAAATTTTTATTGGAAAATGTAATTTGAGAAAAATATACCCCAATCTTATAAATCCATTTGGTTATAAAATTGTACAAACTACACTTTTGAATATGTAATTGAGTTTATATCCAGTTGTGGGCAATTCTTGGCTATTTTAAACAGTTTACGAGGGTGGTCCGATAAGTACTTAGCCACACCGCCCGATGGCGCCACTCTCGCAAAAGAAATATTCTATCACGCAGTACAACCTTCTCGATGGTTACTGTCAAGATTTCAGCCGGATCGGAGGTGTAGTTTATTTTTGAGAGCGTATGAAAGCAAGTGTGTCCGTTGATTTTTGAAAAATGGAAAAAGAGCAGTATCGGTCGGTGATTCAATTCTTGTTTTTGGAAGGGAAATCGCGCAGCGAAATCAAAAAGCGCTTGGATGCTGTGTACGGTGACTCTTCTCCTTCGATAGCAACCGTCAAAAATTGGTTTAACGAGTTTCAACGCGGTCGCAAGTCGATTTTTGAAGAGCCACGTCCAGGTGCTCCGAAAACGGGTACCACGGAGGATAACATGACAAAAATTCACGATCTCGTATTGGCAGATCGACGATTGAAGGTGCGCGAGATAGCTAAGATCGTAGGCATCTCAAAAGACCGCGTGGGTCATGTCCTGCATGAAATTTGGGGCATAAAGTTTCAGTCGCGATGTCGCCGTCAAGCGGTGCGGAAGTGCAACCGCCTGACGCATCATCGCTACATAAGCATTTCAAGTGTCATCCAAATACAAAAGTAGGAACAGTTGTGTGTTTAGTATGTGGAAATTTCTATCATACGAGTGAAATAGTAGCAAAAATCAATGCAGGAAATGCAATCAAACTAATAAACAGCTCATTCATAATATGCCAGGAGCATCCAAATTTTGCACTAACATCAAACTTGCCATATAGGGACTTAAGTGAACAAGCTAGTGCTTTCATAACACAATTCAAACTTGTAAGTAGAGAACAAATAAAACAGGAAATATTAAATGAGCTTGTGCATGAAAAGCAAATATTAAATGAAAAAGATGATTATATGGATATAACACAGATCAATGATTTGTATGAATTACAACAATTAAAAGCCGAAAATAACCTATTGAAAGAACTGTACAAAGAAACAAAAGAAAAAAATGAATTGCTCAATGAACTACTAATTAAAGAAAAACAAAATAAAAATGCAAATACTAACATTATGAAAAAACATATGCTGAAACAATTGCACTACCAAAACCTAAACCCAAAAGAATACCAAGATTAATAATAAAGAAAAAGAGTAATGATAACATAAACTTAGAAAATCAAGTAGCACATTACTTAATTAAAGACAAAAACATACAAACAAAAAGTGTACAAGTTAAAAATACTGACACAATAATTATCAACTGCATGACCGAAGAAAATGTCACAGTGTTAGAAAAAACTTTACAAAAAAAAACTACCGGCACTTACTGTTCTAAAAGAAGAAATACGTAAACCGATAGTTAAAGTAGTAGGAATTTCCAAAGCTTTCTAAACAAATGTAAAAGATATAGAAACTGATATTAATGCAAGAAATTTTAGTCAATACGAAGAAAAATGCAAAGTAAATCATGTATTTACAAATGAAAAAAATAAAACAGTAACTGCAATAATAGAAGCTCCATCTATTCTATATAAACATATAAAAAACAATAGTAACAAATTATTTATTGGATGTCAAAACTGCAGAGTCTTTGACGTCATCAACACATATCCGTGTTACAACTGCTCAGGTTTTGGCCACGGCGGCGGAAAGTATGAAAAAGCAAAAAAAGAGCCAACGTGTTATAAATGTGCTGGCAAGCACCAAGCAAAAATGTGTAGTAGCAGCATACTCCAATGTCCAAACTGCATTTTCCACAATGAAACATATAGTAAAAACTACAACGTAAACCATAGTACAATCGACAGCGAAATGTTGAAGTTTTAAAAATGAAAATAAAAAGGTATATTGAAATGATAGATTATCCAATTCAACCAACTCATCAAAGATATTTTGGTAGAATAAACTTTGAAACAAACACCCGCAAGATATATAACCGTCCGAGAATAAATAACAGTTTATCGTTATCATCATTATCTACTCCAAGTCCAACAGGTAATAAAACCAGGAATACTAAATAGTTTTCTGCAATATTACAATATGGATAACAGCTTGTATGATATTATATTTGAAAATGAACATAAAACAGATAATATTGATGATCTAAACAAATATATATGTAAAGAAAATAATATCATTCTTTGTATAAACATCAGAAGCCTAAAAAAAATTACAATAAATTACTAGTATTTCTGAAGAACCTCGAAAAAAAACCATGTATAATAGTATGCACAGAAACATGGAATTTAGACAATCATGAAATGTTCAATATTCCAGACTATAAAATATATTACAATGCAAGTAAAATAAACAAATCAGATGGAGTTGTTTTGTATATGAAAGAAGAAATCACCGAAATTACAGAAATTCTTGAAATTGATAAATTAAAAATAATTAACTCTAATATTACACTAGAAAACAACAAAAATTTGGTGCTGTCTGCAATTTACAGATCTCATGATTTATCTAAATCTGAATTCCTATTGAATCTCAAAGAATTATTGAAAATAAACAAAAAATATAAAAACAATATTTTAATGGGAGACTTTAATTTTGATATATTGAGTGAAGAAATACTAGATCAAGATTTTTTACAAGTACTGCTAGAAAATGGATATTGCCCTGGACTACATACCATAACAAGACCATCCAATATTGATATTAACAAAGGTACATGTATAGATAATTTCTATGTTAGGCTAGAAAAAGTCAAATATAAAACTTACGTCTTCAACGTACCTTTCAATGATCACTACCCAATAATGATGAGTTTAAGGAATAATTATAAATGTACACAAAAAACCAATTTCAAAATAATAAACTATTTTAAACTGAAAAATAAAGCCAAAAGAACTGTTTGGACTGAACTTCGGTTTGCATTATTTCATAGTTGTTGTCGGAGTTGAAATTTGA